TTTTATTTCAGTGAGGCTATGAGTTTTAGATGCGAATCCAACCCGAATTACGCCTTGTAGAGATGTTTCAGAAATTTATTCTTTCATATTTGCCACTTCGCTGACTATGTCAGGGATCAAGCTGCCTGGTTAGCTCACAGGGGTACAGGGGGCAGCGCTCGAAGTTGGGATTTTACGCTCGAATGGTTGTTTGTGTGCTCGAGCGGAGAATGTTTGGTTCCAAAAGTTTGACCTATCTGCAAAAGTACTGGAAGTTGGGATTTTAAGCTCGAGTGAACTTTCCTGCGCTCGAGCGAGGTCCACTCGAGCAGCCATTCTTGCGCTCGACCGAAGATCGCAAAACAGATTGCTATAAATATGTGTTTCAGTTAGATTTTAGGGTTATGGCTTCCAGATCTTCTCCTTGGATATTAGGGTTTATATCTAGGGTTATTTTGCTTGGTTTCTTTGGCATTTAGTTGAGTATTCAACTCATGGTTTAAGAAGTATACATCAAAAGATTAGTTGTTTATTCAATACAAAAGAGAATGTTGTTTTTCGGTGGATTCCGTGAAATTTAGGCCTGAAGCTTTGGTGGAATCCAGAGTGGCTCATCGTCGTGGATTCAACATCGACGTTGTGGGTTCAGTGTTGGGCAAGGCAATTCCGCGGTGAACACGAGGCTAGAAGAAGCACATAGAGGTCGATTTGATTCGAGCATAGATTCGCTAGGTAATTGAGAGCACACTTATGTAATTCATTTATGTCTTCTTAGTGGATTATTTTGTGGCTTTGTAGTGAATGCGACACCTGATAATGAGGGTGCTCAAAGATTTGTGATTTGGATCAAGGAAGGAGTTTATAATGAGACAATTCGGGTTCCGTTACAGAAGAAGAATGTGGTATTTTTGGGTGATGGCATGGGTAAAACTATCATTACAGGGTCATTGAATGTGGGGCAACCTGGGATGACCACCTATGATTCAGCTACAGTTGGTAAAAGCCTAATCATTTTCATTTTTCTTTTTGTTTTCGTTAATTTTCTTTTGGGAAAGTTATATTTAAATGGAAATAATTCAAGATAATTATATTTCAATGGAGGTATAAATAAAGTTTTGGTCGATGCAAGTAAAAATTGTGACATGGGAAAATTGTCACTTGATCCAACTTATACTTTCATGAAAGTACAATTATTTTGAGTTAGTCTAATTTAATTGCTCTTTCTTCTTCTTTTTTTTTTCTGTCCTTCACAAAATGCAAAACTCGAGTTTAATGGGGAAGAAATGTACCCAAAAAAAGATCATCAATATATGGACCCATGTTGGCATAAGAAACACATTACATAAAAGTTAATTGCGTGCCATTTGAATGATGATAATAGGCTTGCTTCATGTTTTGATGAGAATTTTCCAAAAATATGAAAGAACTCATTTAGAAAGGATAGAAATGTTTCCAATCAAGCAAAATGTCCTCCAATCAAGAAGCAATCATAGATATATGCTATGTAAGCACGTAATCTTATGGTAACATGCTTGACATGAAAATATATCAAAGTCACATGCATGATGCAAAAGAAGAAAGAAAACTTTCATAGTACTCCTCCACGTCGAGCCAAAACTAAAACGATTAGAAACACAAAGGAAAATGCATTGATCTTAGATGTATAAATCAACTAATGCAAGAAATCGCATAGAAATGCAACATATAGGCAAGGTTGCCACTAGAATATCATGTGAATCGTGTCCAATGGCGACTCTAAAAAAATTTGTGGGTGGTGTCATTCAAATTTTTTATGATATTGTCTTTATTTTTTTAATTTCATTTTTTATGTTTTCATAAATAAAAATAATGAAAAGTTCAAAAACATTCATCATCTCATAACTTTTTCATTTAAAAAAATAAAAAAATTCAAGAAAATAATTATTAAGAAGAGTTTTGTTAGGTTTTTATTCTTGGCAATTCCGTTTGACAAAACTCATTTCATTTGTAATTGTATTCAATCTTTTATTTCAGTAAAGCTTTGACTTTTATATGCGAATCCAATCTGAATTGTGCCTTGCAGAGATGTTTCAGAAGTTAATTCTTTCATGTTTGCTACTTCGCTAACTATGTCAGGGATCGAGCTGCCCGGTCAGCTCGCGTGGGCCCAAGGGATAATGCCCCTTGGCGGGTCTAGGAAAGCACTTAGGCAGGGTCGAGGGGCAGCGCCCTCGAAGCAAAATGCAAAAATACATTTGAAGTTGCTTGCTTGCTCGAGCGGTCGTTTGTGTGCTCGAGCGGAGAACGTTTGGTTTCAGAAGTTTGACCTGTCTGCAAAAGTATTCCGTTTGACAAAACTCATTTCATTTGTAATTGTATTCAATCTTTTATTTCAGTAAAGCTTTGACTTTTATATGCGAATCCAATCTGAATTGCGCCTTGCAGAGATGTTTCAGAAGTTAATTCTTTCATGTTTGCTACTTCGCTAACTATGTCAGGGATCGAGCTGCCCGGTCAGCTCGCGTGGGCCCAAGGGATAATGCCCCTTGGCGGGTCTAGGAAAGCACTTAGGCAGGGTCGAGGGGCAGCGCCCTCGAAGCAAAATGCAAAAATACATTTGAAGTTGCTTGCTTGCTCGAGCGGTCGTTTGTGTGCTCGAGCGGAGAACGTTTGGTTTCAGAAGTTTGACCTGTCTGCAAAAGTATTGGAAGTTGGGATTTTACGCTCAAGCGAACTTTCCTACGCTCGAGCGAGGTCTACTCGAGAGGCCATTCTTGCGCTCGAGCGGAGATCGCAAATCTATTTTTTGCAAATATGCGGTTTAGTCAGATTTTAGGATTACGGTTTCCAGATCTTCTTCTTGGATAATAGGGTTTATATCTAGAGCTTCTTTGCTAGTTTCTTTGACGTTTGTTTGAGTTTAAATCTGGTTTGAGAAGTATACATCAAAAGATTGTTTATTTCGTTCAATATAAAAGAGAATGTTGTTTTTCGGTGGATTCCGTGAAATTTAGGCCTGAAGCTTTGGTGGAATCCAGAGTGGCTCATCGTCGTGGATTCAACATCGACGTTGTGGGTTCAGTGTTGGGCAAGGCAATTCCGAGGTGAAGACTAGACTAGAATAAGCACATAGGGGTCGATTTGATTCGGGCATGGATTTGCTAGGTAATTGAGAGTATACTTATGTAATTCCTTTATATTTTCTTAGTGGATTATTTTGTGGCTTTGTCCCGTGATTTTTTTATCACAATTGGAGGCTCTCCAATTGTGATTTTTCCATATAAAATCGTTGTGCCGATTTGTCTTGATTGTTTAATTAGAATTGTTATTTTACTGCTTAAAATTGATACATAATCACAAATTAATATCTAGAGGATTTCTAGATTTTTCAAATTCGCCAAGCAAGATTTCTCTATTAGTGTCCATTTTTTCCATTTCTTAAAAAAAATAAAAATAAATTCTCAAATCATAAAGAAAAGTGAATTTTAATATTGTTTTGTCAAAATGACATATAAATACATACACTTTTACAATAATCACTTATTGTTATTCTCCTGTACTATTTATGAAAACACCAATACAAAATTGATGAATTTTACTATATAATTTAATACACACCTCAAAAAGAGTAAACCATATACCCACATCTTTTGCGTTTTTAGTTATGATTTCTTATTATATTAGTTATGAGTTAATTATAATATATTATGATTGTTATTTTAGTTATGACTGAAGACGTCTTTGGTTGGTTTTGATTATGACTCTTTATAATATTAGTTATAATTTAATTATGGTATATTATGATTATTATTTTAATTATGATTAAAAAATATCTTTGGTTGTGCTTGAAGTATGTATGGTTATGACATATTTTAGTGTTGATTATGATTTGGTTATAATATATTATGATTATTATTTTGATGCCTCAAATAATATTTGATTATGATTCATATGATCTTTTTAATTAAAACCAAAAGTAATTTAATTATGATACTCAATAATATCAAAATTAGAAAATGTCATAGATTTCCGTAGGGGTAGCTATATATATATATATATATTTAGAAGAGTGCTTAATCTTGGGAGTCTATAGAGTACAGATTTAGGACTAAGATAAAGGGCTAGGAAAATGATTAGTCTGGAGGTTAGACAGAATAGGGGGAATGGCGTAGTAGTGCAAGCTGCCAACTTTTCAACGGTTAGTCTAGTGGTTGACAATTCTTTTCTTTTTTTTTGGGTGAATAGTGGTTGACAATTGAGAAGTTTGTTCTTGTTAAGTTTTAGATTCAAATACCCTACCTAACAAATACATATTTTAGGATCATGAACTACATAGCGGAAGCCTTATTTTAAAAGATTTATTTGACCCGTAGAAATTTAATTCGCATAAATTAATCTAGAATATCTTAAAATAAAAAAATAAAAAAAAACTGCCCCCTTTTCATTGATTAGAAACAATAGTGATTTGAGCAGGTACTCGTACAACAGAGTAGAGGGTTCAATGATCATTCATTGACTTTTTTCACAGTAGAAGACTCTTTCCGTGATAAATATTTTTCAAAGGTTTAGGTGAACCCTTTATCATCAACACAGCGTCGCCCCTAATCATGTCAAGGCATAGAAATCATCCAACACAATAACAATCTTGGCAACATTATCTAAAAAATAATAATATTAGAAATCATAAAAAAAAAAATATCATGAAAATAATTATAAAAAAATTTTCACCGTTAAATTATATATATAATAAAACATCACACATTAATCAAAGGATAAAAAATTTTCATGAAACATTGCATGATATTTTTTTTTCATAATCCCTACTATTATTCTTGAAAAAATCGACAAGCTAGGACTAGATGCATGCACTAGGCTATTAACATACTAGAAAATGTTAACATCAGTGGTGATTTTGCTGGTATTTGGTCAGCTGTGGACTGTTGTTCTGTGTATCTATTGGTCTCTTACCAACAGGTACTTGATTTGGTGCTACCATGTGATTGTGCGAGTTGCTTAGTGCCAATCTAGTGGGGATTGGACTGTCTCGCTATGATGGTCTTTGCATCATCCCCCTCCCCTTTGTTGGTGTTTTTTTCTTCCTTGTAAGGTTCTCTCATCATCAATAAAGTTTTCTTTGTTGTTGATAAAAAAAAACATACTAGAAAATGCAAGAAAGAAAGGAAACTAGAGGGTAGAGATAGAAATAGCTTAGATCTATTCCAAAAACACAGAGACTGGCATGGATCTATCCCAAATATGATCAAATGCATGACAATAGAATTTATAGTATAATCAACAAGAAACAATAGATCTAACAGTTATCAAATATATATGACATGTTTAGATACTAAGAAAAGAAAGTAAAGAATCAATTTCAGTTTGGAGGTTTCAAACTAAGAGCAAAGGAGAGTGATGCACAAGTTTGAGAGTCTTCAACGAGTCATCTCTAATGGAGGTCCAAGATCCCGCTTTGAAATGGTGGATATGGTAGCTTTGTTGAAGAAGATGACAGTCTTTAAGTATATTTTGACAATTTTTTGGTGCAATAACACAAAAACGATAAACCCAAAACAGCAACCTAAACAAATCTAGAGATTAGATCTGGAAAGGAGAAAGAGGAAAACTAAAGGGGGCTCAAGTTATTTGGGAGAAAACCCAAGAGCACAAGAAGAAAAGATAGGCCAGCCAACCGCCATGGCCTAAGGCGGCGGCCGGCTGGCCAACGGTGAGGCCCGAGGTGGAGGTTTTTTAGAAAGAGAGTTTTTTGAAAAACACCTACAATTGAGTCTCTGTTTTTCCACTCGTTGCAAAACACTAAGGGGGTGATATATAGTCATCAGGTGTGTGTATATATTAGATATACATGCATTTGGAATATTCTAGCCTCTAGGGGACCACTATGAGAAACAATTATCAACCGGAAATTACTTGTGGCTACATATAACAACCTTCCGCCGCATGCTCTTGGAAGACCTAGAACTTGTGGCTGCGAGTTTTATTGGGTTGTTGGTCTATTTGCTCAAGTAATTCTTCTTTTTCACAATTCGATTCAATTCTTGATTTGTTTTGAAAGAAATTCGATTTTTGACTTCTAAAAAGAAAAACTTGGGTTGTGTTTGGAAAGATTTTGGAACTTTAGTTCCACCCTTTAGTTTGCATATAACGTTTGTTTGCAGCTTTCAAAAATTAATTTCATGCTCACTTTTGAAAACTCGGTCGAATGTAGAAAAATTTGGGCTAACTGGTCGTCCGGCCGGTTGATCGGAACAGTACAATTTTTTTTTTGACACATGTTAATTTTTATATACTCAACAAAAAATATTTTTCGAATTTTTTAAAAATTTTTATGAGCTTTAATAAAATTTTGTGTTGTACGTTTGGTTATAAGTTGTAAGTTTTTGTATTAAATATCATATGTCACATCAAAAATTTTCCATTCAATTCAAAACTCATTCACCAAACAAATTTTTTACACTCAAATCATAATTCCAAAACTCACAAACTCAAAATACAACTCCTATTATCAAATCATATTTAAAAAGTTCTACCAAACACTACCTTGGATTAATAGAACATGTGAAGTGACAATTTCTTGAAAAAAAGTTTCTCTAGGTCTTGAAAGCGTTCTAGCTAAAAAGAGGGGTTATGTTTGGTTTAAGGATCTCACCACTTTCAAGTTTCTTTCGAGAAGACATTATCATATATTTCTTCTTTCATCATCGAGGAGCATTGAAGGTACCTAAATTTCAGGACCAGTCAAAATAGAGTGTCTATACCAAAGCTATCTTGTGTATCCAAATTGTTGGACCATTTTAATATCTTTTATTTATTTATTTATATATTTTTTTTCATGAATCTTCCTTTTGTCTTGTTTATGAATCTTATGTTGTTCATAAATGGAGATTCATTGTTTTGATGACCTTTTGTTTTGGTCATGAATGGAGATTAATTAGAATTCATAAACTTGGTAGTGAATTAATATTTGGATACACTCTCCATTTTCTCTAGGTTCATGGTTATTATTATTTTTTGGTGTATTTTGTAAAGTCCTTGTGGCCTATATATAGTTCCCCTCATCTACTCTTTTCCACACAACACACTAACTATTTTCTATACAAGAGAGATTATTAGCAAAGAAGGGTGTTTTTCCTGGTTCACCATCGATCTTGTGTAGAGTTGGCCTGAACTATACGGCAAATGGTTGGACTGTTGTATCCTGGAGGGGACAAGTCATAGTTTTGTGACTGCTGCATCGGTATTTGGGTTTTTCTTACCGCAGTAGGCTTGATCTCCTTAAAAAAAATGAGATATCTGTGTCTCAGCCTGATCTATTTGTATCTCATTTTCTTTGTATTTTTTTATCAATAAAATATAATTTTTTGGTATTTTCACCAACAATAAATAAATAAATAAACAAATTTCATCCATAAACTAGGTTAATTTTGAGATAAAAGGAATTTTTTTTTCAAAGATAAGATCCACATGCAATAAGAGAGATTTAAACCACTATTCTCTTAGTGAATTTTCAAGGGTTCTACCCGAAGGGCTAGACCCGTTGGTTTACTATTTACCAAAAATTGAACAACATATTCTCAAGTGAGGCCCAATCTTCCTCTGGATCATCTTCTCAAGTGAGTTCTCTATTTTTAGAGTAAAACTTTAGTGTAACAATGATACATGTCGTTATCATCCAATAATAAAACACCACATAAATGGTGAACTACACCTTCTACCATCAAACTCAACACACTCATATGAATAGCGAAGTACAATACATTTACTTAGTAATTCATGATTGGATGACGATATTACGTGTCAATGATGATGTGTTGTCACTGTTGTAACGAATGTTTTTCTTCTATTTACCATGTGATAAGAGCATCTCTATTAGTATAGTATTTTATTTGCTATTGTAGTATATTAAAAAGGCACTTTATATGAATTTATCATAAGTTTCTCCATTAGTACGTAGTATTTACTGTGCAAAAATAGAACAAATGCACCAACAAAGTATTATTTTTCTATGCTATTTGCTTTTTTATTTATTACCTAACAACTGTCATTCACTAGTTATTTGAGAATTGACTATTTTTTTTATTTAATAAAAGATGTGTAAAAAGTAGAAAAAGTGATGTGACAATTGATAACTCCTCAAACAGGGCCTAAATTTAGTCAAAGTTCTAAAATAAATAGAAGTTGCACTAAAAATAAATTAAGTGTGCTATTATTTTGGCATAATTGTCATTTTTGCATTATTGATGATAAGTTTTTAGTGGAGGCTCCATGTTAGAGATGTCCATGACTAGAATCATATTATCATTTTCTTTATGCTTCATTTCCTTTCAGCTTTTTTGCTACCCTTTCTTTCCTTTCTTCTAGTCTAGTTTCCCTATCTTGAGTATCACATATTTGCTTGCTAAATTTCTCCAACAAATTGCAAAACATAAACTCATCAAATCATATGCAACATTGCTCTTTCTATGCAATTTCATTTTGGTTTTCTTCCGTTAAGATTTTTAGTTTTTGGAGAATCAACACCAATTTCAATTAGATTTTAATTAAAATTCAAAGATATAGGAGTGTCAAAATGATAGGAGTAGACTGGGGGATAGAGTTAAGGGTTGTTGCATGAGTTATTTTCGTTTGTTATAGATTAACAATGCTAGGATGAAAGTGATGAATTCAAGTTCAATTATAATGCAAAAGATAGGTGTGTTCGTTGGTGTTTAATGTTGTTCTATGCATGATGCTATTGCAGGAGTGCTTGGTGATGGATTCATGGCGAAGGACCTAACAATTGAGAACACGGCGGGTCCCAATGCCCACCAAGCAGTGGCATTCCGATCAGACAGTGACCTATCCATCATAGAAAATTGTGAATTTATAGGAAACCAAGACACTGTATGTGCCAACACACTTCGACAATTTTATAAGTCCTGTCGCATCCAAGGCAATGTGGACTTCATTTTCGGATTTTCAACTTCAATCTTCCAAGATTGCCTCATCCTAGTCTCTCCCCGCCCCCAAGTCTTCCCTCAAAACAATGTCATAACAGCTCATGGAAGGTTCGACCCTGCCCAATCAACCGGCTTTGTGTTCTTGAATTGCACAGTTAATGGTACTAATGAATACATGATGACTTTTTATAACAAAAGGAATCCTAGTCCTAAGGAGGTTTGCAAGAACTTCTTGGGGAGACCATGGAAGGAGTATTCAAGGACAATTTTTATTCAATGTAACTTAGGGGATCTCATTGCACCCACAGGATGGATGCCTTGGGATGGAAACTTTGCTTTATCAACCCTTTATTATGGGGAATTTGACAACTTCGGCCACGGATCCAATTTGTCTTTTAGAGAAAAATGGAGTAGCACAATTCCAGCCAATCATGTCCAAACATATTCAGTGCAAAATTTTATACAAGGTGCTAAGTGGATTCCAACATCTTCAAACTCATCTTACTCATAATGAGTCATGGCCCATAGGGCAACATGGGGCTATACTATACAATGGAATCCTATTCTCTTTTATTGCAGCTTTTGTATCACCATAAATTCTTTCAATCCAAATTATATCATCAAATGATTTTATTTGTCTGTCTTTTTTTTTTTGTGTGTGTGTGTGAGAGAGAGATATTAATTTATTTATAATGACGTGCAGAAAACGATACCTTTTTCTAAACTAATGTGGCTCAAATTAGATATCAATGGGTTTTTAGGGGTGTTAGAGTGAATTGGGGTTAGTTCTAGTGCATTAAATTCCGAATTAGAGATGGCAAATTGGGAGTTTCCGATCATTCTCGATTACATCATAAAGTGACGTTCCTCAAGTGGGCGCGAATAATTATAGTTAGTTAAAATGTGGTGTCTACACCTGCGACTTACCACTTATTTTAACCTATATTGTTAACAACTTTAAAAAAAAATGTTACATATAATCTTTTTATATTTTATTTTATCACTCGATGATGCAAGTGAGTAGATCTTATATGTATATGTGTGTATGGGATGGGTGGAGTGGGGTGGGGTGGAGGAATTACATTGCTTTGTGTCTCCATGTGAAAAAATGAGATAAAAATTAATTATTAATCGTTATCAATTTTAACACTTTTCTTTTCTATTTATCAAATCAAAAAAGAAATTTAGATTAATTACACAAACCTTCCTTGAGGTTATTGATAATTGCAAGAACCTTTATAATTTTTAAAATTACTTTACTCTTCCTTTTTTTCATTGACAACTTACATAAACTTTTGTTGTGTAATCTAATTGGCAAAGGTGATAACAAAAGGGGATTTCTTTTTAAGGTCCCTGATATTAAGATTTTATAGCATAAAGGACACTTAATATTTTCATAATGTTTAAGATCTCTTAATATCGATCTAGAGAAAATTCGATCCAGAGAAAATTTTACATATCTCCGACACCAAAATTCTTTGGATACATCACAATTTTTTTTTTTTGTTACATATCACAGAAAACATTTCTCTGGACACATCACAGAGAAAATTTTACACATCATTAACACCAAATTTCTCTAGACACATCACAGAGAAAATTTTACACATCACCAACACCAAATTTCTCTAGACACATCACAGAGAAAATTTTATACATCGCCAACACCAAATTTCTCTGGACACATCACAGAGAAAATTTTACACATCTCCAGTACCAAATTTCTCTAGACACATCACAGAGAAAATTTTACACATCACCAACACCAAATTTCTCTAGACACATCACAGAAAAATTTTTACACATCTCCAACACCAAATTTCTCTAGACACATCACAGAGAAAATTTTACACACCACCAACACCAAATTTCTCTAGACACATCACAAAGAAAATTTTACACATCACCAGCACCAAATTTCTTTGGATACATCACAAAGAAAATTTTACACATCTCCAACACCAAATTTCTCTGGATACATCACAGAGAAAATTTTACACATCTCCAACACCAAATTTCTCTGGATACATCACAGAGAAAATTTTACACATCTCCAACACCAAATTTCTCTAGACACAGGAGGTGAGGGTATAACCTAAAGAGGTCTCAAGTCTATCCTAAAACTTAACAAAAATCGAAAAACAACCCCAGGAAATCAAGATACTTTACTTTGCACCCTCTTTACTGATCATATCCTTGTACCTTCTAATGGAGTCCAGCCTTTGTAATTTCAACTGTTGCCTAAACTGGTTGATGAAATCATCAACCTTTGCATCAACCTGTTCATCTTTTACAGTCTCCGTCGAGACTCTACCCTCCTTCACCGTCGCTGGACGGTGAACCTCCATGATTTTGTCCTCCTCGAAATGCGCGAAAGTCAACTTGGTACTCGCTGAAAGCTTCTCCAGCAACTTGCCGGAGGCGGGGTTGGTGTTGGACTTGGTTTTGTTCACGTGATAATGATAAACCTCATCCAGACTCCTCGAATCATCTTTTGAGAATATGGGTTTGTTGAGAATTTTGATGGGTCTCTGATTTGGGAGATTCTGAATTTAGGTTTGGGTTTGGATTTGGATTGAAGTCTTGAAGTGAGGTTTGGATTTAGAGAGAGAAAGAGAGATGAAATAGGGAAGGTAGAGAGAGAGATGAGGTTTAAGGGGTGTTTGGAAACCAAAAGTTGAGGCTAAAATAGCCTCAAATACAAAAAAAGCCAAAAAGCCACACTAACCCATTGTTTTTTTTTTTATTTTTAGTTTTTATAAAAAAAAAATAAAAATATATAGCTCTAATATAGCATCAGCCTACCTCATCATTTTGAAGTAAATGACAATTTGGCCCCTTTAAACCTATTTTGAAAAAAATGAAGTTAGGGACAAATTTGTCATTTCAGTTTCAAATATCATTTCAAATACATTTTTCAATACACAGCTCAAATAAAAATTCATCCTATCTTCCCAAATACAAAAACTAAAATAACCTATTAAAATAGTTAAAAAGCCAAAAAACCTCTAAAATAGCAACTTTCCAAACACCCACTTAATTTGAGAGAGCCAAATTTCTCTGTGATTTATGAGTGTTGGGTTGAGGAACCTTAGACAATACAAAATAATATTATTGATTTCTTTCATTACTAAAAATGAGATAGAAACTGTAGACTAATTTTATCATAACAAAAGTTGGTTTATGTTAGCAAATGTCAGTAACTAAATATTAGGTTTCCTTTGAGAAATAATTTTTAAATTTTTTACAAAAAAAACAAAAAAAAAATAAAATAAAAAGAACAACCCAATATATTTGCAATTGTTTCGTAACCACCAAACACCCCAACCTAATCCAATATATCCTTTCAAACAAACAACCGACTCCCAATATATCCATACAACCAAACAAGCCCATTCCATTTATTTATCATTACAAGAAACGCCCCCATCTTGTTCTTATCTTTCCTCTACTCAATCATTCCTTGCCCTTACTACACCGGCATCACGGTGACACCACTTCCTCATCCTTTTCTGCACCGGTAGCAGCACCATCACCCATGTTATGCCTGCCCACTCTTCATCCATCCCTCCTTAACTCTCTCTCTCTCTCTCTCTCTCTCTTACTTATACCCATCATGGATTTAAACATCTTTTTTCTTTGTTTCTTCACTGCCCCAATTTTATTTTGCCCCAATCTTACAGTAATTACAGAGTACTGTTTAAGTGTGGCATTTCCTCAAACACCTCATACCCATCTATACCCATAAACATTGTGAACATCCCAGAAAATTTTAAGACCATCCACACCCCCCCTCTTTTCTCTTCAGACCCAGCAAAGAAATGAAAAAAAGAAAGAAAAAAAAAGGATTTGAATATATATATATATATATATATTCAGGTGGGTTTCACACTTGCAGAGGGTGGCGGTGGTGGCTCTTTCAGTGTGTAAGTGCAAATGGAAGGAAGTGAGAGATATTTGAGTGGTAATGGTATGCTTTAAATTGACCCTGAACATCTCTTGATATGCTTTAAATTTCAGCCTGCTTGTGTGAATTGCATGTATAATTGAAGATAAATATGTATGTATGTATGTATGTATATATATACACAAATACATATACACATTTATTTATATATATATATATTTTTGAAACCTATTAGTGTATATAATTGAAATCAATGTGCTGTTACTGTATGGTGAATTCTATGTATAATGAAGATAAATATATATTGTACGAGCACGAAATAATTCTTCTCGTATGATCCTGTTGATCAAGTTTGTACTCCTCCAAACGTCGTTGCTTTGCCACCTGAAAACACAAACGTGAGCTAACCGGCGGGTGTGTGCCGGAAACCCCTCTGATGCCTAAGTCAGTAACTAGACAATAGACAATAAGCTCTGTGTATTCTAGAGTAAGAATTGAGATACCTGTACAAAGGTCTGGTCATGAGCTTTTATAGACTTTACTTTGGCACAATCCTAGTAGTATTCCAACTCTCCCTATGAGAGTCCTCCCAGGAATCACACACCCTACTCACTACCAACCAAGTGAGATGGTTTTGCACAATCTTAATAGGACTATACTCTCCTTAGCAGAGCCCTCCTAGGAGTCATACTGCTACTTACTACTAACCAAGTGAGATGGTTTACACAATCCCAGTAGGACTCTAACTCTTCTTAGCAGAGTTCTACTAGGAGTCTCATCACTGCAAGCCAAGTGAGATGGCTGAACCTTTTACCTCGGCTATACATTCCTGCCCGAACTGATTTATCTTGGTCCCCTGCCCTTCGGACCGTGTGATCGAAAGCCGATCTAATGGATGCCACCCTGCCGAGCTATACACAGCTCGGCCCTCGCCATTAATGCTACCTCCTTTTAATAAGCTGCTGCAACCACACCGAGCTAAGTTACCTCGGTCACACGCTTAAGTAATGATGTAGATGGCGCTCGGCCGAGTTATACCAAGACCGGCCGAGCTATACCAAGCCCGACATCCTTTCTCACCAATACCTCGGCTAACCATCAGCCCACTTATTTCGGCTGACATCTTTACCTCGGCTAACATTGCGGTCAGCCAAGTTACTTCGGCTCTGTGATACTTTAAGCACTACTATCAGTCTTGACTTCGAGATGACGCCCTGCAGAGCTATCGTTTAGTTCGGTCCTCTTTCTACCGATACTGCGGTCCATAGTTCGGCCCAAACCCAAAATATGAGATGTCTTCTTGGCCTAAGACCGAGCTACATCAGCCCTTATCTCGGCCCATTATGCGGTCCAACTCCCAAAGAAGACTCTTCCTAGCTCGGCCCAATTTATTTACAAATTACTCTCTCATATATGTATATGCATTTGTGGTCTTTGGCTATTACCTATTGTCGTGTTGGTTGTGATTCAAGAGCTCTTTGGTTATACCTTACTTGTTGTTTGTTACTAACTAATTTTTTTTTTTATTTTAGTTATGACTCCTATGAGGGTGAGTTTTGAGGGTGTGTATCATAGCATTATCCATCTATATATGATTGAAGTAACACTGTTGTTTGTTGTTAGTGTATTTTGGTGGTGGTACAGGAATGTTAGTGTAACACAGCTGTTTGTTAGAGGGAGAGAAAGGAAAAAGAGAAAAGGATGGGTACAGGGATGATTTTGTTTGGTTCTA